TGTGTATGTTTACCTACAGAAACAGCTGAAGTGTGTATGTTTACCTACAGAAACAGCTGAAGTGTGTGTTTACCTACAGAAACAGCTGAAGTGTGTATGTTTATCTACAGAAACAGCTGAAGTGTGTATGTTTACCTACAGAAACAGCTGAAGTGTGTGTTTACCTACAGAAACAGCTGAAGTGTGTATGTTTATCTACAGAAACAGATGAAGTGTGTTTGTTTACCTACAGAAACAGCTGAAGAGACTGAAAACAGGTCAAAGGGTAACCCTATTGGTTAAGAAGGACTTTAATGTGTTCGAACACTGAGCTCGCTCTTCATGGTTCTCCACCGATTGTTACCTGATTCTTGACAGCTGTTTTGTGAATCTCCACCTCGTCATGATGGAGGAGTTTGAGCTCCTGAATGATCCCAAGGAGGGATGGCTGGCTGGCTGGCTCTTGGGACATGAACGTCACCTTTTTGTTGGGAGTAGCTTGTGCTTGAGGTCCAGAGGTACCATCTAGATAAACAGGTGCATCTAGAAACATTTAAACATAAAAAAGTTCAGTTTTAAATAAATCATTTCAGAAAGTGACCCCCCCCCCATAAAACCATAGATTCATTACACATAGAGTGAATTGTGTAAAATTACATGTCAGTTGGCATGACTGTTTGTCTTATTATTATAATTTTGTTTTTACTTTTTATTTTCTGTTCAAGGTAAATAAATATTTCAAGTCTTCATTTGTTCTAATTTTGCTGATGACGGGTCACAGATAATTAAAAATAATAATAATTCAGTGTCTCAGCTTCACTGGGACTTGGGTAACTAGTTTATCTCATGAACATTAGAAGTTAATTTGATGTGAATGACCATAAAGTTTCTTGACATTGAAAGATTCAGTCACTTCCCAGCGGAGGGACACCGAGTGGACCAGGTTCTGCTCCTCCATTGTCGAGGCATCAGGCTTGAGATGGCGGCGCCTCAAGCAGCAGCCATCCTTGATTCTGATTCTGGTGGTGGACGCCCCAGGTGAGGGAGGCCATCAAGCTCGTTGATCCTTGCTAACTGGTAGGACCAGAGGCAGCTGAGGGGCATCAGTACCTGCGTTCCTCATTACTCTGGATGTTGCTGGGACGTCTTGGTCGACGCACCTTTGCAACATTTTGGGCACTGGGATGTGGTTCCCCTCTTCAAAAAGGGTGTGTTCCAGTTATAGGAGCATCTCCCTCCTTAGCCTTCTCAGTAAGATAGTCAGGGGTTCTGGAGAGTCTGGTCCATGGTCTGAACCTCACGTTCAGGAGGAGGAACATTGGCCCAACTTTCTACCCTCACCAGGGTTCTCGAGGCTCGAGGGGGTGTGGGAGTTTGCCCAGTCGGTCTACGTCTGTTTTGTGGACTTGGAGAAAGCTTTCCACCAGATTCCTCGAGATGCTCTGTGTGGGGGGGTCCGTGATTCTGCTGTGATCTTCAGCTCTCACTGGAGCGGTTCGCAGCCAGTGTGAAGTGGCTGAGACGAGAATCAGCACCTCCAGATCTGAGGCCATGGTCCTGTCAGAAAAGGGTGGATTGTTCTCTCTGGGTGGGGAGTGAGGTTCTGCCTCGAGTGGAGGAGAGCAACCAACATTTTGTTCTGAGGGGCTGCTTCAGAACCGTGGACGTGAACCGTGCTGCCCCACTTGAAGACCTCGCACCAAAAACATTTAGGTTTACTTCATTCTCTGTAAGAAGGGATTACTCTATAGAGCAGCAGCTTCGTGCACTCCGGGCATGTTCTCGTTGTATCTCAGTGCAGTGATAATAAAGTTTATTCTGATTCTGTTCAACTCCAGTCCAGAAAAACACTCATCTCAAAAACCACAAACATTCATGATTCAAATCCCTCAGAGTCGGCGTGCCGCTTGTTTTCTGAGCTCCTCAACACGTAAACTCTTAAACTAACGGAGCTTTTGTCTGTTTGTGTCTCCAGGTGTGAGCGCTGCGACCGCAGCTTCACGCAGGCCACGCAGCTCAGCCGCCATCAGCGACTCCCCAACGAGTGTAAACCGGTGAACGACAGCAGCGAGTCCATCGAAGTGGATTAACCCCGCCCCTTTACGACTCATCGAGCCAGATCTGTTTGAAAACATTTTCTAATCCTCTCCGTCCGCACCGAGCCTGGTCTCACCTGGAACCTCCAACACTACCTGCGCTACTTCAGGCACCGCGGTTCTTCTTCTTCTGTTTTAATTCAACGACGTGAAACGGAGCTTTAACTAACGAACGACGGCAGATTCAAACAGGCGTGAACTCGTTCAGGCTGTCAGAGGAGCCATTTCAAAATGTAAACTGTGCGTCGACATCACCTCCACCATTACCTCCCAGTGAGCATCACCTCCACCATTAC